TCCTTCCTTCCTTCCTTCCTTCCTTCCTTCCTTCCTTCCTCCCTTCCTCCCTTCCTCCCTTCCTCCCTTCCTCCCTTCCTCCCTTCTTCCTCCCTTCCTCCCTTCCTTCCTTCCTTCCTTCCTTCCTTCCCTCTCCCTTCCTGCCTGCGGTCCTTCCATCTTTCCGTCCTTCCTTTTTGAATGAAGTTAGAGCTGGAGTATTTCTGAGTGCCAGGTGATCTATGCAGATTGTGTAGAGAGGGTGCTGAGTGGCAGGAGCCAGTACCTAGAACATTGTCAGATTTTGTGTTCGTCAGGCAAGCTTTCTTTCTTTTGATGGGTATGCCCACTTACTAAAAATCCAAGATATAATCCTGAGCCCCATGAAGTCAATACCAGAATTTTGGCCCTGGGATGACTGTCTACACTCTTCATCATAAAGCATCACATTAGCCTGCAGGATAACATTAGGGTAGATAATGTGAATAGCTTAATCTCTGTGGAAGCCAGATTTACACAGACTTCACAGAATTACATAGACTTCAGTTGGTCACTTACCTTGTTGTCTGTGGTTTTATAACATTATTAAAATTCTTAATATAGGTTCAAGCACAATATTTTCTCTTGATTCGTTATTTAGCAGGCACAGATAGGAATGCAGAATACTGTAGTGCATTATTTACCAAGCAGGAAAAAAAAAAAGTTAAATTCTTATAATCTCTAGAATTGACAAAGCTGTCAAGGCATTGTAAATGTTAAAATGTGTGACATCTTACAAATTGCTATATTTTAACATATAGCTGCTAATTTAGAACATGAATGAATCTATATCCGGATTAAACTGGTCAGGGTCTTTTGTATGCTTTGAGATTACATATAAACATCAATTTTTCTGTAAGCAAAACAAAAAATGGGTGGCCTTCTTAATAAAGAAGAAATCCTTTGTTATTATCTTCAAATCTATTGTTGCCATCCAATCCATTCATTCACTGAATTTATTTCATTTCTTCATTTATGGCAGATGCATTTTCTATTAAGCATAGTAACAGAAGAATCCTTATTGCTATTCAAAATAGAATGGCAAAGGAAAATCAGACAGTGAATATACATATATTTGAAGATATTGTGTGTGTATATATTTATAAAAATTGCTTAATCTAGGAGAAATTCTATTGTTTGCTGCAACTAGGTGATCCTTTTGTAGTGATTAGCTCAAAGGTCTACTCAAGATCTGAAAGCTGGTGCTCTAGGATGTGTGCTCAGTCGTGTTAGAATAAATGTAAAGGGAAATGCAGGCATGATTGATGAACATTAAGGTGTATTGTATGGTAAGTTCCGGCACTCTCAACACAAGCTGCCCTACATTTCCTTAAACCTCTGTTCGTATTTTGATTTTTTTTAAGAAAAGAGAACAGGCTTTTATGAGGTCTGCTTGATAAAAGAGCAGTCTTAGTGTATGACTTGTGACAGTTTCACATGTTGCTTTGGAAATACATGTAGTTCCCTTTAAAAGACTTTTTTTTTTTTTTTTTACAAGTAGATACCTCTGATTTCAGAATGGTTAAATATTTTATTACAATTGATTTTATGCTTTTTTTCCTCTCCAGTAATGATTCATCTGTCATTCATGTTTTAATATACAAGTTTTACCTGTTAAATTGCTTTATTTTCATTTCTAAGGATTTTGGTTGATATGTACAGATTTCAATTTATTGGCACTTCTTCTCAGAATTGGTTCCAGTACTGTTTCAGATTTCTTATTTGTATCTTTTTGCTCACATATGTGTAGCATTAGGAATCTGTGGCTAGGGAGTAGATGTAATCTAGGACTGTGGGTGTAATGAATGAAGCATAGAAGCTGTCAACACATTTTTCTCTTTTATTTTAAGCACTTTTTTTAATTTAAAAAATATGCAACTATTTTCCCATGAGTTTTTGTGACTAATCAGAGATTACCCTGAAGTGAAACCCTATGTCTAAACACTTCCAAACTTTAGAAAAGTTGAACTCTCAATATGATTTCTGCAGTCCAAGCAAGCAGCCATGTCTTCATGTTTCCAAATTCCCGAATTTTATAATTAATCCATCCTGAAACTTTTTTCCATGTGGCTTTTTGTATGTAGTGTTGTAGTTGGATTCCTAAGAGAGTACCTCTCTGTGGGTGAGATCTGCTAGATAGATGTTGGCCTCTATGGAAAGGCCGTGGAACCCCATACTGCAACTCCTGCTTGTGCAACACCCAGCTGGGATTAAACATTGTCAGGAGAAAGATGAAGAGGGAAGAGCTTGCTTCTTCTTTTAGAATTAAATTGTAATTAATACCCCATTACACAAACTTTCTACTTCGGGAGTGTGAAGATGGCTTGATTTGGAAGGGATTGTTTGTGTGATATTCGTGCATGATCAGCACTTGTGTTTTGTCCTTGTAGGGTAGTGTATGTTCCTGTGAGTTTTCACAAGTAACAGATGTTCATTAGTCTCAGGTTTGATAGAGCTCTGTGTGGCAGGGTCCCAGGCTGAAGCAAAGGTTATGACAGGTCAGAGACAGGCAGAGTTGTGTGGAGAAACTTGAAAGCATCTGCCTGACTCATGTTTTTGACTGTTATCAACTCGTCATCTGCATGACTTCAGTAACAATGTACTTTCAACTCACTTGAAAGAGAAAGGATCCTCTCTAACTTCTCTCCAGTGTTTGTGCTAACTTGGCCTGAAATACCAGACCTTGACTATGGAGGGATAAACAGCTGAACAGAGGAAAAAAAAAAAAAAAAGACAAAGAGTTTCTTGTAAAACTCACTAGTGTATTTATCCTATTCCTTTTTCTATTCAAGTCGACTTTTTCAGGTTTTGTGATCCATCCCTGCATTTCTAGACAGGCTGTAAAGGATAAAAGCATATTTATGTATTGGTATCGTGACATGTTTAAAATTCAGTTTTTCCAAGCATGTAGTTATTTTTCTACATATCACATTTAATATTTCAATTTGAGTGTGTGCAGCATGTGAAAATGACCTCTACTGCCCTGCTAAAAAGCATTGGTGTAAAGCAAGAACCTTCGTGGTCACCGTCTTTATCCCTCCACTGCTCTCTCTTTTTAATTATTGGTGTTATTTCCTCTCCACTTCCTTCCCTGCCAACAGGAGCAGTTTATGGTGCAGACACAAATCTTTGTACCTATCATATTTCTGCTGTGCATACTTGCACACTTAGCTAGGCCGTTTGCGTGCCAATAAAAAGGTAACGTATTGCCCGCGACTGAGCTATCTCTGAAGATACTGCAGGGTTCTCTTCTAACTCCTGCAGTCTAGTAAAAGCAAAATGAAAATCACCTCTTACTTAAAAGTGCATTTCATAAATCTCAATCTTTGTGATAGCACTGGAATCATTATGTACCAGTTGGCTCTGATACGCTTCCACAGACACAAATTGAGTCCGACAGGACTGATGTCTCATGTACTTTGCTGTCATTTGAAATGCTAGCATGAAGACAGTAGGGATGAAGGGGGGGAACTGGTGCCTTCAGCACTTTGCCTATGAAGATTTTTTAGATTTGTGTTTTTTGATGGCAGAGCTGATTCAAGAGATGGTTTTACAAATGAGATTGATAACAGCAGTAGATTTCTAACAGCTGCTCATGTCTTTTCTTCTTTCTTGAGTAGAATCTTTGAGCATAGCAATGCACTTCAAAATGGGCTCTTTATGCCACCCACAAATCTGTGTGATCCATCTAGTGGAATGATAATTAGTATAATTTTTTCTCCTCCCTTTTTGTTTTTATCTTGACTGCCTAGAAACCACTTATGCGTGGTAATGAAAAAGATAGTATCTGTTTTCCTTATTGTGATAAAGTGAAATTTCAGACCTGCCAAAGTTTATAAGTTACCGTTCCTTAGAAAAACACAGCTAAATCTCAGTGTTATTCTACTGACACTGGCAATCTTTTCTGGGATTATCTGTATCTCCTTCTGTGAGAGGGGAAAGCATTTTTATACTCTTTAATTTCTATTATTGCTCGGGTGTGGTAAATTTAGACAAGAGGGAGACACACTTCTTAAACCTAAAGGCAGGTATTTGAGCTGTAGTGCTCCCAGTATATTATAATAAATTATGTTTCATAATAAATTAGATGAATTGAAATCAAGTCTGAGCCCTTTATTCCAGGTTGGATTTCTTTTCTTCTGTTAGGTCTAATTCAAATATGTAGAGGTAATCACAACAGAAATTTTAGCCTTTGGGAGTTGTTGACTCAAAACTACATGGGTTCTGATGTATTAACATAGAAAGCAAATAAGCTAGTATTTCAAGGCTGTCTTTAATACTACCTTAAGAACCATATTTAGACATTCTCCCTACTAAATGCCAGGACACCATCTCCCATTATGCTTCCTAAAAGTGAACTTCTTATTCTGCGTTTTGAATCCACTTCGAAGCCCTTCTTACAACATGAGTATGGCAGCATTATATTACACTCATGCTTCATTAGGAATGATTCTGTGATTCAAAAGGAGTTTTTAAATACCAAAGAGAAAATTGAGAGTGTGGTAGGTACTTGATTATGATAGAAAAAGTACACTAGGGATTACATCTGAGCTGTGAAAACATCTACGAATGTTATGTTTTCTAGTATAGGCCAGTGGCCTGAAATGAGTCATGATTTCTTTCTTCTTTTAAAACTGTTGTGTCTTAAATTATGATTTTTTATTAAAAAAGTCTCCTTTCTACTTCTGCTAACCATATATCTCTCTTCTCTTATCTCTTCCGCAGGCTCTGAAAAATACTTCCTCTGAAATTTCCGACCGGACAGACTCGCAGTGGCTCCTAAGCCCGTGAGGACGAGGCTGCGAAAGCATGCTGGTGCCAAGCTGTCGGATAATGCACGTAGTCAGGCCAGTGGTCGTGCTCCTCTGCTTGCTGCTCTGTGCTGATGCTGAAAGTAAGACTATTATTCATTAGTGCTGAGGTCTTGACCATGATGAACATTTTTGTTTCCAGCTGGCAGTTACTAAAAGTTTCTGAATGAGTTTCCTTTTGAGCAAGCCTTAAAACACTCTGAGGTCCTATCTGGATCACAGCCAGTATTTGAAAGGGACTGTTTATGCAGCTTCCTTACCATTTTCCTCTGAATGCCCCTTTTATTAAGCAGCTCATGATTCCTACTCTTTTTGTTGTTCAAAAGTTGGAGAAGGCTATTCTAACAAAATTCTGAAGTCAAAACAAAGCCCAACCTTGCTTACCAAGCATTGACTGAAACTTCTTTATATACTTCTTCAGTTACTCAAATATTTCTTCCTTAAGTTTGGTCAAAAGGAAAAAAAAAAAAAAAGGCAAACAACTTTACCCCCCCCCAAAGTAATATTTAGTCCAATTAAAATTCCAGGCCCTTTGTAACTGCCACAACAGCTGTTCTAATGTATTATTTCCGACAGCTGTCGTGGTGTACAGTATTCAAACAAATCAAGCAGAACTGACAACCTAGTGGTTGGCCTCAGTGTGTGAGTAAAGGCAGCAATGTTCCCTACTGGTGGGGAGAAACTGTTGGGTTTTGGTCAATTAGCTTACCTATTAATGGGAAGATAATATCTTCTTTTTAATTAGGAAATCATTAGGTCTCTCTTGTTTACATATGTTCTTTCTCCCAGCTGTCCGGTGGCTTTTTGAAAAGTGATGTGTAAATGAGAAAAGCCGTTTGCTTTCCACCTGTTGACCTCCAGATTTGCTACAAGCTGTTCAGTTCACTGGTTTCTGGGATGTTTTCCTTGTGTGTCTTCCTGAATCTGTAGAGTTAAATCAAACATTCAATAACTTTGATCTAGCTTTGAGTTTTGAAGACTTCTGTGTTTTTCTACATGTCGGTGACAAAACACAGAAACAGATTAGCTGAGTTAGAAAAGAACCCACAAGAATAAAACTGGCATAAGTAAGATTGGAGATGTCAATTCTTAGCAAAGGAATACTTAAGAGCTGCATGCATTTTGCACTCTAGATACACTAAGATACACCAATAAATCAGATATAAAATCTTTCTACTTCCAACTGTAGTAAAATTTCTTGTAGCTGTAGCACTATGAAAGTGAAGAGAGTAGGGAAAAAAAAAAACCCACAAAGAAAAGCACTCCAAACATACGTGTTTGTGGAGTACTGACAGTCGAGAATGCTTGGCTTCTTTCCAAGTAGATAATGACCAGCTGGGATGGTTGTGTCTAAGGTGAAGCCAAGGACATTTTAGCACTTTTGCCAGCAAATAGCTAGCTGGGAAATGGGCCCAAATGCTGGATGTTTCTGCAGTTTTAAAATATCACATATTTTTAAAGTAAATTCAGGGCTTAGCAGGCATAGATTTTAGAATCTTTTAGAAGGTCTTTTCTGCTGGGGATAATGGAATATCCAACCTCTTTTGGGCTAGTAGTGAAAATTTTTGAATGTGGCCAGCCCAATCTGGTAATAACTTGCTAAAACACTGGTGGCTCGCTCATTAGTTCTGTACTCACAAGAGAAGACCCTAGTCTCTTTAATTACGTTAGTTTTCAACTGTAAACAGAAGCTGCTTCTTTCATTAACCTTCTCTTGGGTTTGAGAGAGGAAGAAGTATAGTTTTTTGAAGGCTGGCATATGATTTACTGTAAAATTTGCTATTCTGTAAAACTGTGCAGTATTGGTCTTAAGGGAGATTTGCTTTTCCAAAGCTGTTGTCTTCCAGTGAAATCAGCTCAGAGACCAGTATATAGTCTTAAAAGATTTGCAGTAAGAACTAAGAAACAGTAAAAAATGATGGTTCAACAAGTTGAACCATCTTGAGTGAACCCTCAGTTTGAGTTGGGCAGAGAGGATCCTTATGGATGTTCAATAAGGACAAGTGCAGGGTCCTGCACCTGGGGAGGAATAACCCCAGGCATCAGTACAGATTAGGGGTTGACCTGTTGGAAAGCAGCTTCGTGGAGAGGATTTGGGAGACCTGGTTGACAACAAATAAACCACAAGGCAGCAATGTGCCCTGGTGGCCAAGACGACCAATGGGCTCCTGGCCTGTATGAGGAGGAGCGTTGCCAGCAGGTGAAGGGAGGGGATCCTGCCCCTCTCCTCAGCTCTGGTGAGGCTGCACCTGGAGTATTGGGTGCAGGTCTGGGCTCCCCAGTACAAGAGAGACATAGAGCTTCTAGAGAGGGTCCAGCGTAGAGCCACAAAGATGGTTAAGGGACTGGAGTATCTGTTGTAAGAGGAAAGACTAAACGAGCTGGACCTGTTTAGCCTGGAGAAGAGAAGACTGAGAGGACGCTTGATCAACATGTTCAAGTATCTGAGAGGTAATTGCAGGAAGCATGGGGTCAGGCACTTCTCTGTGGTGGCCAGTGACAGGACGAGGGGTAACAGGTGTAAGTTGAAACACAGGCAGTTCCACCTCCACATGAGGAAGAACTTCTTTCCTGTGAGGATGACAGAGCCCTGGCACAGGCTGCCCAGAGAGGCTGTGGAGTCTCCTTCTCTGGAGATCTTCAAAACCCGCCTGGATGGCACCCTGTGCCACGTGCTCTGGGTGTCCCTGCTGGAGCAGGGGGTTGGACTAGATGGTCTCTAGAGGCCCCTTCCAACCTCAACCATTCTGTGATTTTGTGATTCTGTTAAATATCAGTAGTGAATAACTGCTGTTTTTAGACTTGGATTCTAAATGGCTGCATGCTTTACAGGTTCTCTGCGCTATCCCAAGCAGAGGACAATGCAGACACCCATTCAATATAACAGGTTAATTATCTGTCATTGATTTATTCTTCTTTCAGTTTCCAATTTATCCCAGATAATTGTGTGAGTGATTATTTATATTTTACCATGGTTATGTTAGATAAGAAATATGCCGTGGATGCTTTTAACATGCAGTGAAATGCAATGAATAACAAACCTTTAATCCCAAGTGCTCACGGAGGTTTTTTATTTTTTAAATAGCAAAATAGCATTGTTTTGTGATGGAGGAAATCACACAGATTTATTCTCTATGACTTTGTGTAGATGTCTGTGTAGTTAGTAGCCACTACGAGGCAGAGTTCTGGGGCCAGATGAAGGCTAAACAGAAAAGAAATACATTAAGATAACTTCTTGGAGAGGTTTTTTTGCTCTGCTATTATTAGTAGAATACTTATTGTTTATTGTTCTTATTAGCCAATAAGAAAAAGAAAGTAACTATTTAAAATGTTGATAAATAGTATTTTATTAATACAAATCCTAATAAAATCATAATAGGAAAAAAGATAGTTATTTCAGTTAATGAAACGATTAGATGTATTGATAGAATTTTGGAGTAAAAGTATAATGAAATAATTTCTTCAAGTATTCTTTACAAAAAGACAGAATTTTTTCAAAGAATATTCATTCATGCTGTACACTAGCCAAGATTGTAGGTCAGTGTCTCTTTTAAGGAATTCAAAAGGAGTAAATAAGCAGACAATTACACTAAAAATAAGACTTTGATTTCACTCTTTTCATCTTTTCTTTGGAAAGGAACTGAGCTGGGCAGTATCACTTATTTACCAAAAACAGAATTGTAGTTGCTATTCTGATGATTTAAAAATACTGTTGACTTAGGTAGAGTCCTGAAAAGTATCTGTGTTTTGCTTATTAAGAGTTTTTGCCAAGTGTGTATTGGTACAGTGAAAGTGCATTGTGATATGACTGGAGCTTGTGGAAGGGGAATGGACTCTTACTTGTGCCAGGTAAATAGAAAATGATGACATTAAGAAGTCAGGCTTTTGTCTGAAGTAAGTGTTTTATATTTCTGTATACCCATGATAGTACAGGTAAAAGCTTTTCTTTTGCTATTACCTTTAATTTCTGCTTACCAGTAATTAAGTGTAATTAATTGAGTAATTTTATGAGTGCCCAGAATTTTTCAAATTGATCAGAATCACAATCTTTTTTCAATGTTAGTTTCTTTCAATGTTAGTATCTCAATAATTGCTTTCAGTTATGTGATATAAACTCCAAAGACAAAATCCAAACACAAAATCTTTCTATTTTTTCTAACTGTCTTCAGTTTTCCAGTCATCCATCTTCACACTCATCTTCACATCTTTTAATGCTGTTGGCGAGTATAAAATATAGGCCTTTGTTTACACTGTTATTTCATTTAATGCTAGTGATAATGGCAAGAAAGCTTAAGTATGGACTGTTGTCTGCCTTTTCTGAAAAAAGAGAAAAAAAAAAAACTTTTGTTTTGTTTTATACTCTTCTTATAAAGAGTTTTTATGTGCTCTTTACAGTTCAACCCCAGGACATTTTCCAGTTGATTTTTATGAAAATTGCTGCATAGTATTATGAAAGTAATTTTATATTGTACTTGTTAAGTTTTCCATTAAAATACATCAAGTAAATCACCCATCAGTTCTCAAAAGTTTTATTCTCAGACAGAAGTGGGACAGCCTATTATAACAAACCATTTTAGATATATTCATTTTTTCTGTACAGCAAACTGAATACCTTGGAATACGTATGTACTTGAGATGAAAGAATCACGGGAAATTAAAAGATTGTATGATTGTTCTAAAGGTAGTGACTCAGTCAGAAAAACTGCACATAGTGCAGGTGTTTGCATAAAACAGTATTTATAACCCCCTAAATTGTCAAAACCTTACTTTAATAGCAAATTTGAATAATGTAATTCCTTGAGTAGCCATAATTACCAGTGTATCTGTTTAAGGTCCTGTAACCTGTCAAATACTGATAACTAAATTTACATCTGACACATTTTTCCAATTCAGATAATTTTTAAAAGGTGTTTGGCTTGTGTCTAAATCAGGACATACTAAAGCATTGTTTAGTATGAGAAGAAAATTCTTATGTATTTTGTAAATTGTATATTCAGAATTAAGTGTTGTTTACCAAGGCCCTGAAGTTCCAAAAAAGCTGAAGAGCAGCTGTGGAACAGTTTTTTCAAGTGTTTTTTTTTTT